TATATATATTACCTTCAAGGTTCTAGTGATATCTAAAGTATATTGTGTTTTAAAAGAGCAGTCAAGAATAAGCTTAGGGTTTTGAACCAACAATGCGTGCCGGTGTRTGATGACACTTGAGTGTTCTATTGATAGTAACAAAACCCGCTTGCAGTACATGTCTGCATGATTTTTTTTCATCGACCACAATTCCCTTTGTTTTAAAATGCGAGTCTGCTTATTTATTGACACAATTTCCTTCCAGTGAAGGGCTCGTGTCTATAAAACACATTAGAATCATATTGCAATCTTTGCTTACCCAGGAGCAGCGTCATTGTTCTATTATACCCTGTGAACAACAGCATCACAGCCTGTTATCAATCCAATATCTCATAATGTGCTCTATGCTCGGTCATTTTGAATATAAAAAGATCTTTTGCTCTTATTGTACCATATTTCCTATATTTAGTATTAATCTCTTGTACCGACATGAATCTGACACATCCAATATGATATTTGATTTAGCTGCTGGTTTTTGTTTATTTTTTTGGTCTCTAGGTGATATTGGATACATGTGCCAAGCCGGTGCGATGTTGGCTGTTTCATCTGAGTATAAAAATGATTTAGTGTGTACTCAGCACGCAGTGTCATTGACTAGCTTTAATTTCACTGCAAGGGTGGGCTTTATTACTCTGCTACTCTCCAAATGTGCAAGTGTGTGTGTGAGAGAGAGAAAAATGGAATGAGATTGAATGATTCTGTGCATATATCTGTCTTTTTTTTAATGCTCAGCAGTATAGTAGTGTACCCCACCTGTGCGCACACACAAACACTTTTGTTGAAAAATTACAACCAGGAACTCATTTCAGTTATAAGGATACAAACACAGTGGACTTTAACTACTAACACAAATATAATCTATGGGACTCCATCAATAAACATTCCCATTGCAGCTGAATTTGATCCTATAATGCTCGTATAATTCAAGCAGTTGCCCACAAAGTATGCATGTAACCAACCAGATTTTATTCTCATTTTTTTATTTTGAAAATCTTTACATTAGTTTCAACTGTCAAAGACTGTTATCTTTAAACAAATTTGAAAATCAGTCTCACATTTTTAAAAATGTTTTCTTTATTCATGTCCTATGCATGATTCCTCTCTGTGTAGTTTGCTAATTCAGCCTGGAAAAAAGTGTTGTTGTGAAATATTTAATTTTTTTATGAATATGTTTCATTTGTAACCTTATGT